TATCTCGATCATGAACCCATCCGGGTCGTGGAAGAACAGTTGTTCCACGTAGATCCCACCTTCTTCCACCATTGCCCGCACGTATTCTATTTCCATGTCCTTCAGCTTCTTCTCCACTGCTCCCATGCTCTCACACTGAATCAACTCATAGATCGATTACTTAACTAAGCTGCAGATCTATATCTTCTATGATTAATTCGTATTACTAAATGATTAATTCGTATTACTAAGCTGAAGATCTATATCTTCTATGATTAATTCGTAAATCTATTCAGATTATATATCAAATTCAGAGCATTCAAATTGAGACACAATGAACCCATTAAGCGACCTAAATAGTAAAAAATAATACTATTCTTCCTAAAGGTCTATGATTCGAACAATTGTATCTGCACTGTATAAATTATTCAAAATTAAGAAAAATTATGAACAAATATTATTTTCTAATCACTGGACTATTCAAAATAAACTACGACATAATGTGAAAAGAAGATCAAAACGTTATTTTTATATGATCAATGTGAATAATTTTAAGAGAAAAGAAATGAACCTGAAAAGATATGTGGTTATCCTTAGGATTGATTTCCTTTTTCTTGGGCAAATTCTCTGAATTCTCAGATTGCAGAAGATGTATTCCGATTCCATGTCCAAACAACCTGCATCGTACCCAAAGAAATCAACCCAAAATCTCTATCGGGAATTTCATCGAACATATTAAGCTTAAAAACAGAAATAGTATTCTTTTTTAATGAATTACCAAGCCCCATTAAAGTCAAACGATCCAGGCCTCCTGATGGGATCAAACCCAAGAACATTCTGGTAGAAATTAATGGATTCCTCAACCGATCTACACACAAGGGAGATATGGTTCAAAGATTTGAGGTGAAGAGGGTTTCCCTGACTTTCCTTCATTTTCGTTTTCCTTTTCCCGAGAAACAAAAACAGATTAGAAAAACCAATCCAACAAATGATTAGCTAAAAAAACCAAACAGATTGAAGAAGACGATGTGAATGAAGGAAAACGGAGAGGGATTCATATATAAAACGCTACGGGAGGAATTTTATAAGGAAGACACGTGTCAATAATAGAGATGACTTTAACACGTAGACGTCTCTTGCTGACTAGGATCACGGTCATTAAAAGAAAAAGACTTTAAATAAGACATGCAAGCTGTTGAAATTCTTGTCAGTGTTTGGGTGTAGTTTTGTCATCTGTCTTTTCCTGCTCAAACCTTTGTCGAATATTTTCAATAACAACAATAATTAATTAAAACATGATACAAAATATGAGATTAGATCTTGGGTCGAATAAATAAATTTTCAAATACAATTATGGATGATTTTTGTGGTAATTCATTTAAAAAACGAATTACAATTAATAAATGTCATCATTTATTCATAGATTAAAATATATGATTAAATCCGGTTGATGTTGCAAGTTTATAAATTATTATTATTTGATTTATAAAAGTTGTTCTGATAGACCATGAACTAATATACAAGTAAAATTCTCTCTCTCTCTCTCTCTCTCTCTTACTTTATCAGTTAACTCCCAATGAATTATTCTTTTAATTAGTTAACTATTAATTAATTAATTTCTTAATAGTAGGCCTCCTAATTTCAGTTCAATTAATCAGTATTATTTGGTTGGCTAGATTAACAAAACAAGTATATGGAATTATCAACAACTAACCTACTCACGTCATTTTCTACGGTGTAAAATTAATCATTCTTCATTAGTGCATGCTGACAAAGATGCACAAGCAAAACCAAAAATTTTCTCCTATAGGATGGATATAAAGTTTTATATTGAGAGATGAATTTATAAAATTCTAAAGATATAATATTAATAAAAAAAATATTAAATGCCTACAACGATCACATGAATAAGGAAGCTAATAATTGCATAAAATTGAGGTTTAGTTATGGACATTTGTACTTGGTACTTCTATTCTCGTGCGACAACTTCTTTATTACCCTCTTTTAGTGAAAGAAATTATATCCAATACCACTTGTATTACGTTTGAGAAAAATAATTAAAATGGGTTATTTTGTTCTCATCTTGATTGTCCTTTTCTTGCCTATACTATGTTAAAATCATGGAATCTTTTGAAAGCTAGCATCATGAGCAACTTTTACTCGACGTTTCTAGTCTTTGAATGTTAACATTTCTTAATCAAACACAGTTTAAGGTTTGGTTTTATGTTGAACTACCTTTTTAGCACCGCCACCGTCGCAAATTTATAAAATTCGAATGTCCTTTTCTGACCTTTTCTTGCCTATAATATGTTCTCATCTTGATTGTCCTTTTTTTTTTCACCTTTTCTTGCCTATAATTGTTGTTTGATTAGTGAAAGAGAGATGATAGCATTACAGTACTTAGAGCCAAGGATAGGAAGCTGAGCTAAGAGCTTCTTTTTGGTGTTTTGAACTAAAATAGTGTACTCCTGATCTTACTGTATATCATAAAACTCATAAATACAATAGGTATATTACTCGTTGAGTATGTTTGAGTGATATGCATATTTGGTTTCTAAATTGATGATATTGTTGTTAAATATAGGTTTAAATGATGTTAAATGACCTCGTGGTACCCCATCAACTTTAAGAATATAGTAAGGCCTTAAATTTGATGTGTGGAGGGGATTGACCATTTTTTAATTGTGGCATTGATACTATTCTTCAAGTATCGATACTGTATGAAAATGTAGTTAAAAACATGCAAAACTTTCATAGTGTATTGATACTTATTCAAGGAGTATTGATACTGGAATTAGATAATACGTTTAGTTGTGCCAATTTACTATCAATATTGTCTAAGAGTAACGATACTTCTACTTGGTATCGATACTGAAGGTTTGAAAAAAATTGTTTTGCCTTTGAATCACTTAAGGATTGATGGGTACTGAAATAATGAAATTAATAAGATATATTAAGACATTAAATGACTAAAGTACCATTTGAAGGCACAAACTATAAAAATGTCCTTCTATATGACTAATTGAGTAAAATAGATGGTTTGAATGTAATACAAGGGTAAATGACATAGAATTTCGATGCTTGACCTTAAAGAAAAATATTGGAATATGTGACTTTAGTGGCGAGAGGATGATTTATTCATGTGCCTTTAGTGGCAAGAGTATATTATATTATGCGATTTTAGCTAGGAAAGTAAATATTATCTCTGTAGTGGAGAACATATATTTATTTATGTAATCTTAGTGACAAAATTGATACACCTCTAAAATTTAAAGCTTAAAATGATATCATTTTGGTCATTAATAATTGTGCCAAAATGACATCGTTTTATCAACATTATCAAAGCGTAAGAATGTTTTATTCATATTATCGCGTTGTTAAAATTTAATGATTAAGTGATATAATTGAAGTCAAGATCAAATTTTAATATTATAATTAGGATAATTGAAAATTCAACCGCATAAACTAGATAACATCTAAAATTCGATAATATATGATATAGTAGTTTGTCTTTAAAATATATATCCGAATTCAAGACTTGGTGTTCCTTTGTGTCTGAAACTGCAGCATCCATGACGTTTGTTTCCGTGCTACGAAATGGTACCACAACCGTTTAATGGTGTTGGAAGAAGGGCCTTGTGGTTGTTGATATCAAAGCTGCACACATCCTCCACTTTGCATTAAACTTTCATGCATTTTTGCCACTTGTTGGAACTCAACTAACACACTTAAAGCGTTTTTGCATGCGTTGTGCCTTTCATCACCTCTATTATTTCAGAGCTAATCATTTACGCTACGTTTATTAGATATTGTTTTGTTTTTAATCATGCGCATAATTATTATTTTAAAATTATTCATTTATTTAGTATATGTTCATCACGTGAGGGGGGCATACCATTAGGAGGAGGAGGAGCAACAATTAATTATTGCTACAATAAGCAAAATTAAAGATTTAAGTATTCCATTTTCGTAAGCCAAAGCTCTTCCCTTACGTACAAAGCGACCGTCGCATTTTCTTCAAGCATTACCAATCACTCAAATCTTCATCCACTAATAATAAATACATTTCCCTTTTAAACAATCATGAAATGCAGTTCTTGTTCTTTACATTATGATTATTTACATGTACATATAGATTAATATGATAGATTTTTAAATCAAAAGATTTAGTTATAATTTGATATAATTTTCTTTGACATTGTCTCTCTCTCACTTGTTATCTTCACACCTATATCTCAAAGTTTCTGGAGAAATAATATCTCCATAGGTAGGATCTCGAAAGAACACCTCTAAAGAAAGAATCTTGAATATCTAAAATCTCTCAGAAAATTGCGATATGTCAATATTGACATGACTTCTAATAGGTTCATGCGACCTACGAGAGTCAAATCTATCGTCTGCTATCCATATCTAGTTAACCTGTCAACCTAAATGGTCATAATAACCCTACGCCTAGCACCAGTTTCAAGAGTAATTATAAAACTTCTCGATCAAGACCAAGAGAAATCATATAACTATCTCACCTTTACTCGTCTCTTTTCCACCTTCTTATGGATATAAAATACTTTGACACCAACTAATGATCGATATACATCAACTACAACTCTCTGTCTTTTGCATGAAAAGTAGATAGAAAATTCAACCTCAAACAAACAAAAAATGTCATATTCAAGCAATGAAACTAAATGCAACTCTTGAAAAACAAGATTTATAAACTAAAATCTAAATTAATAATAATAATAACAACTACAGTTATAATAATAGGAATAGAAAAGGGTAGAAACCAAGTCTAAAATGTTGACTTTAGTTACATTCATTCATGTTAACGCAAAAGTCTTGATGAATGGATGTAATAAGTAATGTCACGATATAACCAAAGATTCCCACTAAACCAAGCAACTTAATACTTCCAAGTTTGGTGATCTTATACGTGTTTTTGGTCGCCTGAATTGTTCCTTAACAACATTCATTCACACACACACACACACACATATTTTGGACAATGAACCATTGAGATTTGAGGCAATGACAGTCCTGTTATTGGCAATTCTGGTTACTGCAATGATAAGCAAAGAAGCATACTTGGTCTATGGTGATATTGGCACTGCATCATATTATAACCCTCCATATATACGTCAGTGTCTTCATCTTCATCTTTTTATTTAAACAATTCAAGGTTGATTCACCTGTGTTTTCTCTTGCAATGCAGCAACTAAATGTGATGGTAACAGAGAGGAACAGTTTCCACCAGGGAACCTGTTTGTCGTGGTTAGCGAGGGATTATGGGACAATGGAGCTGCTTGCGGCCGGCGTTACAGGTTGAGATGCCTAAGCGGACCGAAGAGACCGTGTAAGCAGAGAACCATTGATGTCAAAATGGTGGATTTCTGTCCGTTCACGCCATGCCCCTCGACGATCATGTTGTCCTGAGATGCCTTTGCAGCTTTTGCACATAAACGTGGAAGGAAAATCAATATAGAATATATAGAGTAAATCCCTTCTTCCTTTTATGTTCTTCATTTCCCTGTTTGAAAACAATAATAACATAATGATTGATGACATTTTGCAGGGTTTGATGACATGCACGCTCGGAAGGATGACATTAGATATTTGATAAAAGATGTTAATGTCAAGTTTGTAAATTCTTCCATTGATACAAGAGAACATAGTATAAATGAAGAAAAAACGAGATGATTGAATACTTTTCATATGGAATTGTAAAGTTGGAAAAACTCCCATAATTTTAATTTTTAAGAATGGAATTTATTAATAATATTGTTATAATAAAAACCAAAGTGCATGAAACTTTGCATCTAAGATCAGTCTCAGATCAATCTTTGGTTTCAGTCTGAAACATGGGAGTCCTAGTTAGAAAAACCATTACTTTAAAATATATAGAAACTAAAATGAAGAAAGCAAAACCAGGGGTTGCCAAATCCTGCTTCAATATCTTTCTAACCGTCTTAAATTATCAAAACATTAATCAGCTATTCCATTCTCGGTATACAAAAGGATGGAATGACCAATACAAAGGAGAGGGTTCAAGAAGTTGGAGATTGTTGAGTCGGATCTCCTTCGGATTTGGCCGCACCTTCGATTTGCTTCAACTGTCAGTCTTTGGAAGTAATAACAAGCAATCCCAATGCTCCGATGAGAATATACTGCAATGAAAATAAAAACCATTATGATCCATATTCCGTAAGATGATCATTAACGTCTCCACAGGTTTTGTTGGCCTCCTGAGACTTTAGAACCTTCGTAACAGTTCGAAAATCTCAAACAATGGGTATTTAACTAGAGGCCAACCCTCAACCTCAATGTTTGACGTAAATAAGAGTGAGATCAAGGCAAATTTGAATGGAGGGAAAATATTTTGTATTTGGTGAAACAGTGATGCAAAGATGCAGAAATGCAAAAGGAGAAGTCCCCCCAAAAAATGTTACAGGTAACCATAACATAATAGTAGCCACTAGCCTTGATTATGAAAATGTTTTGAAGCACAATATAAAAAAGGCTTTCTAGTTTAAGTAAATACATGTGTAAAAAACAAACCTTGATAATTGGCTTTTCGGTCATGATTATAGTCACCCAACCAACATAAGGCAAGAACCTGCAATTGAAGTTTGTGATTAGAACATATTTTCTCACACTGGAAAGTACGTCACCACCCTTTTGCTTGAAGCATGTTTAGAGAGATTGTGCAGTTCAAACCCAGATCTCAGGAATGCAAGATATTTTAAATATATCCCAAAAATCTATATAAAGGCACAGGAACACCAAAACCTTTTAAAGACAAACGAGAAAAAGCAGGAACGCCAAGTCTTTACCAGCGTATAAAATATTATTATCATTCTCTATTTGCTAGCATGCTTTCCAATAAAAATAAGGGAGATATGTCAAACTCCGAAGCCCATTTTCATCAACTTTGAGGGTAGTCTAACACCAAAACACTAAGATTCAGATTTCAAACAAAAGTAGTTAACTAAGATATGTCCCAATATGCCCTCTCTCCATAAAATGCATGGATAGGTATGTGTGTATGAGTGTTGGATTCGTAAGATACAATATGATTTTGAAGAGGAATGCAAGCAATGCCAGGAATGACCAATACTCTATTATGCACAAAAACAAGGATCAAAGGCTAAAGGCTTTACCCCACAGCTCTGCCCATGATATGGTGCCGTTGAAGATAGAGCTGACCTTGAGCATATAAAAGCCTGTCATCCCCATAATTGTTGTCTCCTGAAAATTCACAAATAAAGGAAGAACATTTAAATATCAAACAATTCAATTCTGGCAATTTCAAACAAAGTTAATATTTATCAGAATCAGCTGTCACCTTTGGTGAGGACATCAACTTCTCCGGTATCTTGCCTTTCATGGACCTACAACAATATCACATATCAAATCAGATGATACAAAGAATATGTTATCTGTTAAGATACCAAAAATAGTTTTCTTCTTTCTCATATAGATTCAACTTTCAAACTAAAGATAGTGTATAAGCTTTTCCAGGCATAAAATAGTTTCAAGAAACTAGAGTCCCAAGAAATAACTAGATCATGAAAGCAAGAATGGCCGCTGCACTGACTAGCTAGATCCGGTGCAAACTCTAAAAGGAAAGCATTCGGCCCAACTATTTTGAAAATTAATTGTGCCTGATTATAGCAGCAAGAAAAATCTGAAACCATCACAATTTGGAAAAAAAATAGTTATAAAATAGCAATGCATTTAGGAGTAATCCTGTATTGCTGATAATACATAAGTTTTTTTTTATCGTGTGCGTGTGCGTGTGTGTGTGTGTTGTTGGGGGGGGGATTAGTATAATTCCATGAAGGAAACAAGAAAATAACCAATATAATTGCATAAAGAATCCCAAAAAATAAATAATGAAACTCTATTATACAAAACACACAAATTACAGTTCAAAAAACACGACGAGTTCAGATTTAAAGCAGTAAGTATCACATTTGCTGCAATCTTTCACTTGCATAAAGAATATGTGAGCTCAAACAATTGTTGTTTCTAAACTGACCCTCCTGACAAATTGGATGTTAATTAACAGCTGCATCTAGAAAGGGTATAGAAGCTTCATTGCTAATGCTTCTTCGCTGTCAATGTCACTTCAAGTTTATCTATGAAAATAAGCCTCTTACATAATTATCTTTAGGCCATATTGGTAGCAAAAAAAAAACGTAGTTAAGCATTTATGACTAATAAAATGATCAATCATGTACAATTGCACGGAGTAAACACATGTTCCCCAAGCAGTGACTCTTGCATGGAAACATTTGTTGCTACCAGCCTACCAAATTAGCAAATGAAGTCAACAGATTCATTGCTCCTATTCTATGGCAAGTTAAAATGTTTGTTGCTCATATTTATCAATATCCGGATGGAGATGCCAATAGTAATGCTTCAAAATCATTTGAATATCACTTTTTTAACAGTCATAATACATATAGCTCAACTCAAGACCTATAAGATTAAGAACAATAAGTACATATTAAAATGTTACCTTAATTACACGATGGACAATTGGGATTTCACGACCCTGAGAAATTCACAGTTAGAGAAATGAATTAGCAAAAGACCATTGAATGCCAAAACAGCCGTAACAATCATGAAAAAAAATACAGAATGAAATAAAAAGAAAAGGATAATACAAAGGTACTTACATCAATATTAAAAACAACAATCTCCCCTGCACGGATAGGGTCTTTACTCATGTGTAAGAACAAAATATCCCCCTGCACATGACAGTCATAATCAAATCAGCAAAAGCTACACACATGGAGATCCAAATGAACAATACTGATCATACATATCAGGTAGGTCCAATGAAATGATTGTATGGCAAAACTACTTTCATTTTGATTTTACTACATATCCAAAATACATCAGTCGCAAAATCAAATGACAAGATTATAGACAGTTTACTGAAAATAACTAGCACAGTGAAGTTGCCACCAAACCAAGTACTTAGTTTGCCCTAATTTAATGTCAGATAAAGCAGGGACTGGAACAACATTGTCCCGACTCACTATATTGAAAACATAAGAAGAGAGGAATAATTTTATATCAATTTCAAGGAAACAAAAAGCTCTTAGGAAAAGGAACTGAAGCATGTTATTAGTTAAAGCCATAAGTTACATATCATATACAACTCAGAACATATATGCAGGAAAAAGAAAAAGGTACACGCTATATGGTGTTAGATGGCAGATTCAGCCATCTCCCTCAGTCCCTCCCCTTTATTTGTAAATATAGGATTTCAAAGCCATTAAAATCTTCATTTTCATTGTCTTATGTTTCTTCCCGAAATTACTAAGTTACCCAAACTCTTCATTTCCCCTAAATTACCCGAGTCCAATTATATGCATGATCCTCCAAATATATGGGGGGAAAAACTAAGAGTGATAGCCGCCAAGATAATTTAAGCATTCTCTTGTTCAGTAGACTTACCCTCTTGAAGCCAGGTTCCATACTTCCCGAGAGAACAACGACAACAGGTGATTCACTGCCAGTGACACACATCAATCCCTTCCATATTATGAGGGCCGATGTAACAATCATACCTGAAACAACATATCTTTCTATACGATCAAAATTTGACAGGAGTAGTAACTGATAATGACTGCAGAGCTTGGGAGAAAAAAGTGGAGTACTAAGTAATTAACCTCGATTACCCACTAAAATACCCCACACAACCTTGATCTATCTGAAACCAAAAGGTAAGACCATGTTCTCAATTCTTAAAATTGCAACACAATTTGACTTGGGTTTCTCAAAAGATTTTAAAACTGTAGGGGAAATTTAACATTCGTGGGTATATACCGTAGAGAGGACATTACCAAGGCTGACGGCCTGGGTGAGGAGCTGGCGGATCTGGGTTGATTTGACTGAGTCTACGGTGTCTCCGATCCAACCCATTTTTCTGTCTCGGATCTGTTTCGGTTTCTTTGTTTTTTCGTCTTCGTCCTTTGCAGTTGCTGTATTTACACCAATTACAAGACTCAGAGCAGCTGTTCAGCTGTTCTTATATATTTTTATAAAATCCTGATAATTTACAAATTCCTATTATAAAACTTGGGAAAATTACATGTTTAATATCCTAACCATCACTTTTATTCTGTTTTGATCACTAAACTATTTTTTTCCAAATCATACTTAATGTTTAACTTTGATTTCATTTTGGTCACCATCCGTTAAAAAACTAACAATGATGTTGATGTGTCACTATAAGATAATACCACATTATCGTTGAAAAAAATAAAAATGCTACATTACCAATTTTGTTAATTTTTTAATGGTCGATTATTAAAATGAAATCAAAACGTAACGTTAGGTACAATTTTGAAAAAAAATAGTTAGATGACTAAAACAGAACAAAAGTAATAGTTAGGGTACTAAATATGTAGTTTACTCTATAATTTTTTTTATATATTTATATTTAAGATTTTTCCTTATTCGAATTCATATATTTATATTTTATAATTTAAATATGTTTAGATATTTATTTTGCATTAGTATTTTTTATAATGTTATTTTAATTATTTTTTTTATTTTTTATATATAATATCAGTGTAAGTTACAGTTGCCAAATAAATCCAATAGAAAAGGAAACACAATTAAGACTTATATTTTATTTTAAATAAAACATATGTACATGTTACATATAATATTACTTAAATTTCTATTAAAAATATTACTTAAATTTCGACCACTTAAAAAAATATGACATCTTTTATTATTCGGACTACTCTTTAACTCTTAATGTTCTTGAAATATTGAAGATTAACGTGGGACAAAGTCTTGTATTATATTTTGTAAATTGCAATGAGTACGATAAGTTTTTTTTACTTAAATACCTTTTTCCCAATTAAAACCATTATTTATTGATTTTTTGCCAAACTTTTTAATTTTATTTTTTATCATTAAAAATTTATTATTGATACAAAATAAAAAATATATAATAATTATAATAAAAATTTGAGATTTTTGACTTTCAAAAAGTCAATAAGTGATCATTTATACAAATATTGAGAAGTATTTTTGTCATTATGTATTTGATTGTTTTAGAATATGAAGTGGCAAGCATCTACTCGGGTCAGTTTAGACTGCTCGTTAAGTACCTGGGCTCAATTGGTTTCGATTTGGGCCTCATATTGGCCTGAACGAAAATGTTGGTAAAGTGGGTGGCAGGTAAAGAAGACGAATGAGATGTTGGAGAAGGGTAAAAATGGTTTCACTGTGATAAGTGGAAGTAAATTTTGTTTAGTTCAAAACTAAAATATTATAAAAATGAGGTGATTAACTAGGTAGTTTACCATTAACACCGTCAATATGATATTCCTATCACACTCTAATCCAAAAGTTGTGTATAACCAAACGTATTTTTCATCTTTTTTTCTTCAAGATGCCATCTTGTGTCCTGGTTCAGGTAAGAGTCCGGTGACGACAGGCCTGGTATGGGTGTAGTTTCCATGAGCGTTGAAGGCGAAGGAGTAGGCTTTCTTCCCTGGAACAGTGGACTTTATGTAGACGTTACGAAAGTGAATGTTAGTGCATCCAACATTATGGTCGCAGCTCAAATTGATCACCTTGTCTGTGATTGATGTTCCGGTGATGGAGCTGTACGTTACGTCGCTGATCTTAATGCCCATTGTCTACCAACATTTACGATCCACAATTCAAAATAATTACTTATATACCAAAACTCAATTTAAACCTTATTACACTACAAAAGTACAAATAAATTGTTGTATACACAATAATGCTTTTACCAACTATCAAAATCTGTCACTTGGAACAAGGTTTATTGACGAAGGCATCCAAAATTAGCCCAAATGTTTACCAGAATAATTACTTTAATTTTTTTTTTTTAGCATTTTAGCCTCAAATATTTTAATTTTTTTTGGGAAAAATGACCTCTGTTGGATGAAAATCATTAGTTGAATAACGATCAACGTATGTTGTTTACGTAATTAGGGATGGCAACGGGCCGGGTATTGGTCCCCCCGTCCCCGTCCCTGCTTAAAAAACTACGGGGATTTAAACGGGGATCCCCATCGGGTAATCAGGGAAAACCGCGGGGAAACAGGTATCCCCGTTTAGCATAAACGATTATTTAAACGGATATCGGGTCGGGTATCAGGCCAGGTATATATTTAAATTAAATATAAATATTTATATATATTTATAATTTAATTTAATTTAAATTTATTAAAATATATATATATATATAATAATTATTTTTAATATTTATCGGGCCGGGTATCGGGCCGGATAATCGGGTAATCAGGGCGGGGATTACTAAACCCGTCCCCGTCCCCATCCCCGTTTAACATAAACGGTTTTTCCCCGTCCCCGTTTAGTATAAACGGTTTTTCCCCGTCGGGTTAGGGTTTTTTTGCCATCCCTATACGTAATATTTTCACAAGTGCTTAATTGTTGACTTGTAACATATCATGTCTTCATATTGTGTGACATGACAAATACTATGTCATTACATTAAATAATGTAACACATCATCACTTTAAGTGATATGGTATGTGGTACATCAACAATTTATTATACATGGAAATGTAATATAAACTACATGCATTAATTATTAGTCAACTGATGATTCTCATCCAACGTGAGTGATTTTTATTTTTAACTACAGTTTTTTGAGTCAGTTTTTTGAGTCGACAATTTGTTTTTAGTGAGATCTTGTCCGAATTCAAGTGTACGCACCTCGTTTTTACAATTCACTCTATCGGGACAATAGTACTGGTCGATAATAATAGGACTATCAGCTCGGATGAACCTAATTTTGTCAAATGTGATCTTCCTTGCATATCCAACACTTCCCTACACACACACACAAATCAAAACTAAGAAGATTTAGTTAAAGCTACAATGAGATAACCTACATTATTCACCAAGTTGCTTGCTTCCATTAGAAAATGTAATACATTAACATTACCTGCCATGTCTTGATTCTTACTCCTGTCATAGTTCCTTTGAATGTACAATTCCGCACCTGTACTTCCTCCACTTTTTCATTCTCACCAGCACCCAATGATCCAATGCTGCAAATTGTGCTTTCTTTTTCAAAAACAAAATATATATTTTGTTGTATAATGAATTTTGTTGTGGTTGTTGTCTTCTAACCTGATGCCATGCCCAGGCCCGCATGCGATGCCGGTAATGTTGATCCGGGATGAACCTGCGCTAATAGCTACACAATCATCCCCTGCAACCATTGCACATTGTGATGGTCATGATAAAAATTCAACACTGCTTATCCAATAATAAGATCAAATATAGCCAAATTACCGGTGCCGATGAAAGAATTCCGAATCCAAACATTGGTTGAACCGGATATATCAATACCGTCGGTGTTAGGGCTTGTTCTCGGGGCACTTATATGCAGGTTGGAGACGGTGACATCGTTGCAATTGGATATAGTAATATGGTTTCTTTGGCTATTGATATGTTTTATTCCCTTGAGCACAAGCCCATTGCACCTATAAAATGTCAGTGCCTTTCACAAAACACCGATAATGAATATCAACATAATACATGTTATTACGGATAATGAATATCAACAAAAGCAACATTTCCACTTACCGTCGGTCCTTTGCATGTTACACCCTGGAGAAAGTACACATGTATAAGAATTTTCCCAAGATAACAAGGAGGAGAAAAAAATGGATTATTGCAACATATTGACCTACCTTCGGAACCTTATGCAAACAAGGGTTCGGCCACCAAGCATGCCCTCGGCCATTAATTGTGCCAGATCCAACGATGTTAAGTCCGTTTACATACGTGAAGGCAAGCCATCTATTAATGTGATAACCTTTCCATGCCATTTTGGAATTGGGTGAGACAATGTTCCCTGACATCTACGGTATGTATCAAATACAAGCATACTCGACGTTAAATCTTTTTTTTTTTAAATGTGTTGAACACGAATATTTAAAATATATTTACCAATATGTAGATAGAAGTGGACTTGCAGGGACCTCTGAAAGTCACAGGCTTCAATAAGAATATCTTCCTTGCTGGTATAATAAGGCTTGGATTTCTTGATGGAGCTTTGCAGGCAGCTTTCCATGCTTTCAAAAACGCCTATGGATTTCATCCCAAAAAAAATGTTAATAGCAAGCTAACGCAACATAAACGAGATTGGTGGATGAACTTACAGCAGAATCGTCAGCTCTCCCATCTCCGACCGCTCCATAATTCATCACATTAAACGAATTCAGTGCACTGCTTACTCCTGGCGTGAGGATGTGCAGAACTGTGACAAAAATGGTGAAGACCAGACGTTCCTGCATCAAGTATTGTCCTATCAGATTAATTTAGCTTTTGAAAAACTGGGTAAGGTTTATGTTTTGGAGGGATCCTCCTAGCTCACCATTTTGGGTAATACAGCATGGATAAAATAAGTATATATATAACAGCAACATGTATATAGAGATTAGAGTATATAATGATGCGAATTAATTTGGATTCCTTAGTATAAAGAATGAATTTAACTTGTTGTGCAAGTTACTTCTTGCTTAATGTATGCGAGTATTGGCGAATAAAGGTTGTAATTAAGCTTAAGAATGAACCAAGAAGAACAAATTTATTGGATCTGGTGCATGGGCACTGCCTAAACGACGGAAAAACACATGGCTTGCATAGACAAACAACAAAGCAAACTAGGATTAACTATTTAAAAAGTCCATATTAAAAACGTTAAAAAACAATTATACCCTTATGGTCTGCTACATCTTATTATTTTTAATAATTATTAAAATAATTTTACAACTAATTAATTTTTTATTGAAATTTATTGAAAAAAAAATGGAAATTAACAAAATAAATAAAATATGACCCCGAGGGTTAGCCATGATGGTAAATCCACTCCACTATTAGTATCTTTTATTATTTTTAAGCAACATTTTTTTTCAAAATACTAAGAAACTTAACTTTATAACAAGTTAAATTATATGTTCGATTAACTCAAGCGTTTACGTCTGTAGAAAATAGTACGAGTAATATATATTGTTTCAGCATGTGCCTCAACTCAGATTTATGTCCGGAGACATGATTTTGGCTGTATGGTTCCTTTATTCACTCCATACGCATTGTTGCAGCTTGAAGTCAATTGGCTGATTTCATTAGTTGCCGGTGTCAGTAGAATGTTGTCTAATGTTATGCCCGAGCATGGAACCACATTGATGCAATTCAGATTGTTTGCCACTTCTGTCTTTGACGTCCCACTTAATCCACTGTAGCTTACTGCCTTGATTTGAACTCCGGTTTCCTGTCCAAAATTTCAACCCATCAGAACATGAAAACATGCAGTGCTACCGCTATTTTGCGGGTACTGTCGCGGTCGCGGACCGCTATTTAAAACCCTGCACGGCAGTATTGATCAATGATAATTGGATTTTCCACTGCAATGAAGTTCAAGTTGGAAAAAGTTACACCTTGAACTATACCTTTCCCCGTCTGCCATGTCTTGATTCGAGCTCCATCAGTTGTCTCTTGAAAGTTAACTCGCATAACATTAATATTCTCTACTTGAGCCTCTGATCCACCCATGCCTAGGCTTCCGATGCTATCGTATTCCCAAAGTCATTCAAAATAAGATAATATATCTACTTCAATTTCATAGAAATGTAGAAGATGAGGTATCTTACCTTATACCATGACCCGGACCACAATCGATGTCAGTGATGTTGATGTGGAAAGTTTTATCACCAACAGAGATACAATCATCACCTGTTTCGGTATCGAATGACGGAAAATGTGAAAGCATTTCTTTCGATTATTGAAGATGCTTCTAAAAGACTATGTACTTACCATCACCGATGTGCGAATCATGAATGGAAACATTAGTGGCAAACTGAAGATGTATGCCGTCTGTGTTGGGGCTTGTTCCGGGAGAATGTATGTTCAAACCTCAAGGATCTCAAGTCGACATTCTGGCAATCCAACATTTATATGACTATATTTTATGTTTTTCATGCAGACCCTGAAATTTCAGAAATGCAACGACATTCAAATGAGAGACATCAACTTTCACAACAGCCCTCAAACACATTAAATTTGCAATGTTATAAATCCTCTGGTTGTGCTTACCGTTGGTGCTAACTTGAAACATCCCTGCTGACCAGGATTAAATTTGCATGATCGGTCCTACCAGCCTTTCCAACGTCCATCCATAGTGCCATGGCCGCAAACTCTTAGACCGTTTACGCCCTGAAAGGTTAACCATGTTGACAGATCGGTTGCCTTCCACTGATCAGGACCATCTGGTGCTAAAATAGTTCCCGAGAGCTGCTCAAATTTTGTAATCTCTAAACTTACTTTTGTCATTTTGATGTCAGATGCCAATTTACTGAAGTATAGTTACCTTGACTTGTATTGTAGTAGACATGCAGGGGCCTGCAAATATCATCTGATGCACCAAAAATTGTTTTCCCTCGGGAACAACCAAGGTTGGACTACTCGTTGCTTTGCATGTGTCGTTCCATGCCTTCATGAACGCCTGCATTCCACACAATTTAAAAATTATGTGACCATAAGCTGAAAAATGAAGAAGTTTTATGGAAGAAGAAAAGAAAAGTGGAAACATTTTACCGAAGAATCGTCAGTAGTGCCATCGCCAGAAGCTCCATAACTTAGAACGTTAAAAAATTTGGGTTTTCATTTGCAGTAACACAAATTATCAGTGTGGCCAGACAAATTGCACATGAGATTGATAATGAATCCTGAAAAAGGAAATTTAAAGAAAATTGGAATTTGCAATCAGTAAGTTATTTAGAGTATAGCAGCCTCAGTTTAGAACTTGAACAACATATTTCTTACCATGGTACATAGAAACATATAGACGAGAATAGTTATTGTAGGAAAGAAACTGCAGGTAGGCTAGTATGTTCCTAGGAAGACAAATGCAACGATTATAAGGTGAAATTTCAATTTTTTTCAAGGAAGAAAATGCTGAATTGGACATACCATTAATTATAATCTGCAGCATCGTGAATTACCTTACAGAGAATGGAGAAAATGTATCTATTGAATTATAATCTGCAGGTAGGCTTGGATGATCCTTGAGGTTTTGGTTCTTGTTTTCATTCTGTTCTCCGGTTATCGCTAGACAGTCATCGTTGATTATCTATTGTAACATGGTATCGAAGTCCTATCGGTTTGCCAATGACAATTCGATCGTCACCTTCACCACCACCGTCTTCGTTTGATCCCACTGTGATCGAGTCTTAGCAATGATTGTTCTCAACTGCTTGTCACCTGAATCGATCTTTGCCTCCCATAGTTTTCAACTGATAGAATTTTTCACGTTTCGTTTATCAATTTCATATTTGAATTCGTTGTGAATGTTAGTATGCAGAGTGTCGAGAACCGAATCATAAGCCTCATATCATATTTGTTATAAGAATTTTTAACTTAAATGATTCATGAGAATAGAGTTTAAAAAAAGTGTGTAACAATCTAAATTTAATTCGAAAAATTCGATTGGCTCGCAAACGTCACGTTTGGATCACTAGAGCAACTCATAAATTAAAACTCGAAATTTACTAAATTAACCAATTAACACTAAAATCTTCATTTTTGACTAGGGTCTTCTTTATTGCAACGTACGCTGATTTGAACCAACTCCATGTAGCAAGATTTGGTATGAGACGAGAGCTAGGAAGGAGAAGATTTTTTAGCATAAGCTGTTGTGGTTTTCACTTCGTGTGCTTAGACATATGATTTTATTGTGGATGGCTATCTTGGATCAATTGGCAACTAAAGATAGGCCGAGGAGGATGAGGGTTGACGTGGATGTAAAATGCGTGTTGTGTTGTGTTGGTGCGGAGTCGAGGGACCACTTATTTTTTGCTTGCCTTTTTTCGTGTGGCACATGGAAAGCGATCCTATCTTGGTGTGGTATTCAGCGTAGTGTACGAGACTGATGTTGGGAGTTGAGATGGGCTACGAGTCATTGGAGAGGCAAAAACCCTATTACTTTGCTTTTGAGGGTTTCTGGGAATGCTTGTATATACTTTATTTGGGAAGAACTAAATATGAGGTGTTTCAGAAATTTAATTAGGAATGAGGATGAGATTCTTAGTTCTACAGGGAGTGTTGTACAAGTAAGAGTTTTTGGTAAAGATACAGTGAAATCGAGCCTTCACCCATAGTTGTATATAACGTGGGGGGTTCAATCTTGACTTCTTTCTTTTGATTGGCACGGTTGCATTCGTTGATTTGTAACAAAGTACTGCTTTTTTTAGATTTAATATATATATATAGTTTATCCGAAAAAGTATTTTAATATCGAAACTATCATGAATGGATTAAATTAAATTACAAATATTGAACTATAATCCTTTGATTGATGATAAGGTTAGTGTCTCAAAATTCAATTTAATGACTGAATGCTGCTAAAAAAATGCACTAATTGTGCCCCAACAAAATAAATAAAGAAGCAAGAATTTTTCCAAAGTAAGAAACTTCATTTTATAGTAACAAGTTATTTCATATGTTGAATTATCTCAAAATTTCACGTTGGTGGGAAATAGTAAAACTGATATATGTTGTTTCAACGTATGCTTTATTCAACTCATATTTATGGCCGGAGACATGATTTTGGCTGCATGTTTCCTCTATTTATTCCGTACGCATTGTTACAGCTAGAAGTCAATTGGCTTGTTTCATGAGTTGCCGGTGTCAGTTGAATGTTGTGTAATGTTATGCCTGTGCATGGAACCACATTGCTGCAATTCAGATTGATTGCCGCTTCTGTTTTTGATGTCCCAATTAATCCAGAGTAGCTTACCTCCCTGATATGAACTCCTGTTTTCTGTCCAAAATATGAAAATATGTAAATGAATCCCTCGTATCCATGAACAGACATAATTTTTGAAAAAACCTATATCTAAATATGTAGACTAGGCTGATCGAACTCGGGTCATTAACGGAGAATAAACCAAGGGTTCATGTACTGATGTACAACAAAATTTTAAGTACGAAAAAAGATTTGTATCTTACTGTTTCCTTGCATGCACCTGGACGATTACAGTAGTACTGATCAATGATAACTGGGTTTTCCACTGCGGTGAAGTTCAAGTTGGAAAAAGTTACACCTTGAACTATACCTTTCCCCGTCTGCCATGTCTTGATTCGAGCTCCATTAGTTGTCTCTCGAAAGTTAACTCGCATAACATTAATATTCTCTACTTGAGCCTCTGTTCCCCCTGCCCCAAGGCTTCCGATGCTTTTGTACGCCCGAAGTCATTAAAATTATGATGAGATATGTTGTTGTTTTTATAAGTATATTACCTTATACCATTACCCAGACCGCAATCGATGTCAGTTATGTTGATGTGGAAAGTTTTATCACTGAGGGAGATACAATCATCTCCTGTTTCGATATCAGACAACCAAAAATGTGAATGCATCTCTTTCGATTAGTGAAGATGTTTTTAAAAGAATATGTACTTACCATCACCGATGTGCGAATCATGAACAGAAACATTAGTGGCAAACTGAAGATGTATGCCGTCTGTGTTGGGGCTTGTTCCGGGAGATTGTATGTTCAAGGATCCCAAGTCCACATTTTGGCAGTCCAACAGCAATACATGTGTTTGGGGGCTGTTGTGAAAGTTAACGTCTCTCATTTGCATGTCGTTGCATTTCTGAAATTTCAGGGTCTGCATGAAAAAATAAAATATAGTCATATAAGTGTTGGTAGTTTGCAGTCTCTGGTTGTGCTTACCGTTGGTGCTATCGTGAAACAACCCTGCTGACCAGGATGAAATTTGCATGATCGATCCCACCAACCTTCTCCACGTCCATCCATAGTGGCCGTAAACTCTTAGTCGTTTACGCCCCGAAAGGTTAACCATGTAGACAGATCGGTTGCCTTCCACTGATCAGGACCATCGGGTGCTAAAATAGTGCCCGAGAGCTTCACAAATTTCAGAATTCAGTGAGAATCCATCGTAATCAGTGTTGTTTATTGCAGCATTCAGTTACCTGAACTTGTATTGCGGTAGACATACAGGGGCCTGTGAAAATAATCTGATGCACCAAAAATTGCTTTCCCTCGGGAACAACCAAGGTCGGACTACTTTTTGCTTTGCAAGTGTCGTTCCATGACTTCATGAACGCCTGCATTCGACACAGTTTAAACGTTACGTTCAATAAAAAACGCTGCACTTATCAATTCTAATCCAAATATAAGAAAACATTTTACCAAAGAATCGTCAGTGTTGCCATTGCCAGAAGCTCCATAACTTAGAACGTTGAACAAATATAGGTTTTCATTTGCAGTAACACAAACTGTTATCAGTGAGACCAAGCAAATAGCATATGGGATTGATAATGAATCCTGAAAAAAAAAAAAGAATTGGGATTTCCAATCAGTAAGTTGTATAGAGTATAGCAGCCTCAGTTTAGAACTTGAACAACATAGTTGTTACCATAGTGCGCAGAAACATATAGAGGATAACAATTTCTGTGAGCAAGAAAGCTGTATGTTCTTGGAAAGACAAAGGCCATTATTTAAGGTGAAATCTGAATTGTTTTTCAGGAAGGAAATGCTGAATGGGGAAATATCATTAATTTTGAATTTCGCACCAGCTTGAATTATCCTTATATGGCTTCAGGTTCTTAATTTCATTGATTATCATTGGATAAAATATACCTCTTTGACCACCTTGAATTATCCAGGTTCTTAATTTACATTTATTATTTAATTAATAAAAACGACTAATTTTATTGAATGATAAAGAGAAAATATAATAAAATAATTAATTGTTTGTTTGATGCAGTGCGACATGCTGTGGAAGGTTGAACTTGCTGTAAAACAACTATTGAAGCCTCTTCTAAATACAAGTTTCTGCTGGAGAAGAAATTTGTTCTGTTAATGGATGATCTATGGGATCGAGTGGATTTGATGAAAGTTGGGATCCCAAATTTATTTATTTATGAATTTATTTTAAAACTCAATATTTTTTAAAACTAAGTTGAATCGCTCCTCGCTTAGCCCAAGAAACTTAAGGATCGTTCCGACACTCTCCACATTTACCCTTCCTTGAGAGTAACAAGTGTAGTTTTGCACTTCAATGACAGGTAAAAAATTCTCGAATTTATGAAAAGAAACCAAATGCTTCAAAGGGAATTCGTCTATAAAGTTTTAGATTTTATTTCGAATGGGAACGAGGAT